TTCCACGAGATGGTAATTTTGGGAAGAAGTAATTGTGGTTTTAACTGAGTTGCACATGCGAAAAGTGACTTGAAAAATACCCTCTAAAAATCGCAGAATGTTCGGTGCCTTTGGCTGAATAAAATGTGATTTCTTTGGCATTGATGAAAGTTAGGTTTCAAAAATAATGTACTTGGAGATGAGAAAAAAGTCTTGTTATTTCTTCGATATCTTTTCAACCATTGAAACATGAGTGAGTGAATTATGCCAAAAATATTGCAGCACTGATTCAAAAGTAAAATTTGTACATTCATGTACAATGAAGAATGCATAGGGGTAGTGATACTGATAGACACTCAATACTGTTTTAGAAAACACGTTCAACTTTCACATGAAGTGGAATTCTGCATAAACAAGTTGGCTTATTTTGTATTTATTGATAAATTCAACGAATTTCAAAATAACACCCTCTTCCCCAACTTTTAAGTACTCCCTTAATTAGCTCTATTGCCTGATCTCACAACCAATTTCAAACAGATACTTGATTCTAATTACCAAGATCACAGTCCTGCAAGCTAATTTCAATCTAAGTAGACAGTTAGCTCAAACAAAATTAAATCTGTCAGTGAGTGTGTGAATTGGGAAAATATTTTCATTACTTGCTAAATGAAATTATTATGATGTCTTATAAATGACACTTCTTTTCTTAGGTTTTGGATTATATTTGTCACGAAGGACAGATTTCATGGCTTGAAATACTTGGTGCACCCAAAATTGGAGCTGTGCACCCATTTTTGTTGTGTGGGTGCACTGGTGCACACATTCAAATATTGTAGGTTTATGTAAATGTATCTATAGTAGTATACAGCATATTCTTCATATCTAAGTGCCACCCAAGTTTTTAGCAAGGGTGTACCAGTCCACCTTTTCCCAAAAATGAATTTCGAGCCCTGGATTTAATAAGGAAGAGAAACTAAAACTACCGCATAATACCATGTAATAAATGCCAAGGAAAATAGGTATTAAGGCAGTAACGTATTTATTGATCTGCCTGTGTGCAATTACTTCAAGGTTATGACTCTCTGGCCCTGAATGCCTATGAATATATATAGGTCCGTTCAGTAATGGTGTACTTACAGTGTGTGTGTGTCGTGGAGTAATGGCTATGGTCCACTATCAAGGCCACACAACAACCGTTAGGCACCCATTCTTAATGTGCTCGTTGTACGCTGCAATGTCATTTTGACTTAGTATACTACCCTTTGAATGAAAACTGAATAGTGAGTGAGTGAGTGAGTGAGTGAGTGAGTGAGTGAGTGAGAGTGAGTGAGTGAGTGAGTGAGTGAGTGAGTGAGTGAGTGAGTGAGTGAGAGTGAGTGAGTGAGTGAGTGAGTGAGTGAGTGAGTGAGTGTGCATGAGTGAGTGAGAATAAGTGAGTGAGAGTGCATGAGTGAGTGAGAATAAGTGAGTGAGAGAGTGAGTAAGTGTGTGAGTGAGTGTCAGTGAGTGAGTGAGTGACATTGACCAAAAAGCACTTACATTTCATGATCTCATCCTGTGTCTTATCCATTGTGCACACTCCGAAAACATATACTGTACTCTCATCTTTTCAAAAGAGGTTTTGATACTAGACATAATTCTGATTACTTTTAACTTAGGATAATTTATAATATAATTCTGTTTCTTGTTAAATCTGGCAATTATTAAAACATAATTCAAAACCCGAGAACAGACGTGTCATTTATAAGACAAGCCATAATAATTTCATTATCCAGCAGTGTAACCATGCTTATTTCCCCAAATACACACACTCAGGTTTAATTTTGTTGGAGCTAAATGTCTTCTTAAGGTTGTAATCAGCTTGCAGTACTGTTATCCTGGCAATAATACCAGTTCTTCTGTATCAGCAATTCCCTGTAATCACTAGACAGTATAAGCTTCATTGCAAGCTGTTTTCTTATATATTATAGCATTTATGGCTAATATATATATAATTGAGTGAGAGTGATATGTAGTGCTTTCAACCCCTGAAGTCACTATATTTAAAAGTTAGAAGATGAAACACACTAAACATACATGCCTGTAGAGTACATGTAAGTTACCTCATCCTAATGTTTAGGCCATTTGAATAATCATCGTACAGTTCCACTGTTCATCACGTAAAGATCGTTCACACAGAACTGGTAGTAACTCTACAGTCGTGGTAAAGCATGAAAAATGGATACTTCTAACCAAATGGGCCCAAAGAGCGGCCATCCTCCAGGGTTTAGTAAAGTACCTGGGAATATCTTAATATCTGCAGTGCGTTACGATGTGACGTTGACTGTATAACATACATGTAGTATTACACGTATGCTACGGCCACATTTCAGACTTTATTATACTTCTATTAGATACATGATTGTATATCTTATACCTCATCTCTGCAGGCTGTTTCAACAGAACTGATATTACAGATGTTTTATACATGTTATGACTACACTTTAGGCTTTATTATGGTTTTAGATACATGTATATCTTATATCTGAAGGCTGTTTCAACAGATATTACAGATGTTATGACCATGCTTCACACTTTATTATACTATTTTTAGATAGCTTATACCTTACATCTTCAGGCTGTTTCAACAGAACTGATATTACAGATGTTTTATACATGCTATGACCACACTTTATGCTTTATTATGCTATTAGATAATATCTTATACCTTATATCTGAAGGATGTTACAACAGATAATTATAGATGTTTTATACCTGCTATGACCATGCTTCACACTTTATTATACTATTTTTAGATACCTTCTATCTTCAGGCTATTACAACAGATATTACAGATGTTTTATACATGCTATGACCACACTTCAGACTAACTTTATTATGCTATAAAATATATCTTAATTTACCTTATATCTGCAGGCAGATATTAAAGATGTTTTATACATGCTATGACCACGCTTCACACTTTATTATACTATTTTTAGATACCTTATATCTTCAGGCTGTTTTAATAGAACTGATATTACAGATGTTTTATACATGCTATGACCACAGTTCACACTTTATGATACCATTAGATACATGTATATCTTATACCTCATCTCTGCAGGCTGTTACAACTGATATTACAGATGTTTTATATATGCTATGACCACGCTTCACACTTTATTATACTATTTTTAGATACCTTATATCTTCAGGCTGTTTCTACAGAACTGATAATACGGATGTTTTATACATGCTATGACCACACTTCAGACTTAATTATACTATTTTTAGATACCTTATACCTTATATCTGCAGGCTGTTTCAAGAGAACTGATATTACAGATGTTTTATACATGCTATGACCACAGTTCACACTTTATGATACTATTAGATACATGTATATCTTATACCTCTTCTCTGCAGGCTGTTTCAGCAGATATTACAGATACAACAGATATTATACATGTACATGCTATGACCACGCTTCAGACTAACTTTATGATGCTATTTTTAGATACCTTATACCTTATATCTGCAGGCTGTTTTAAGAGAACTGATATTACAGAATGATGTTATATTCATGCTATGACCACGCTGCACACTTTATTATACTATTTTTAGATACCTTATATCTTCAGGCTCTTTGAACAGAACTGATATTACAGATGTTTTATACATGCTATGACCACACTTCAGACTAACTTTATTATGCTATAAAATATATCCTAATTTACCTTGTATCTCCAGGCTCTTTCAGCAGGTATTACAGATGTTTTATACATGCTATGATCACACTTCACACTTTATTATACTATTTTTAGATATCTCATACATGTGTACCTTATATCTGCAGGCTGTTACAAGTCAGAGATATTATAGAATGTGGCCTAGCACAAAAAGTGTACAATCAGTCAATCATGCTTCAGACTTCATCGTAAATATCATAATAATATATCTTATACATGTTGAAATAACAGATATTGTGTACAACTACGTACTATGATGTCATTGATCACCCTTTATGAGTACTAGTATCAGTTTTTCAAGAGCTGCCGGAAATACATTGTATAAATCATCTGTGCATTGTCAGCTGTCCTTGAGATTCCTTGCTTTCCATGTTAGTGTTTGATCATAATTCATAAGTCTACGTACATGTACCTCACACATCCGGCCATAGATAAAAAGGAAAATCTCGTGAAGCGAACAAAAGAATTCATGTATCATACAAGCCTGGCTAGCAGCATGAATTCTGGCTCCCTTTCTTCTTGTAGTCTAAAATTATAGCTTAGATATGTTCTTTCATATAAATCCCATTCTGAGCCCATTTTCCATGGTGTGAAATATGGGTATCACAAGTCATGGAGCCCCCATCATTGTGGTGGAAGGCAGAAGAGCTTTCTGCCTTGAATGTCGCTTAACATCGCCGCTTTCTTCTAAGATATGATCCAGCCGGCACACATAAACGACTGTCATTCTTGACCGTAACAGTTTTTATGATCATAAAATGTTTGCAGTGAAGTACTACTAGAAATCTTTCCTGCAGTAGATCATCAGCCTCCAGGCAAAAGATGCAGTCTGTGATAGATAAAGGAAGTGTGTCGAGGAGGATATCAAAGATTGCTGCATCACCAGTTTTAGTCCTGCTAGACAGAGCCGCCTGGAACGCAGTGTGAAGACTGCTGCCCACTCGTTTCAGGGGCCCCCGCAGCAGTTTAATCAAAACCTTGATACTACTTCTACCACATGACTTGTACACTTGCACTACTACTAGTACTAGTACACTAGTACTGTACAGTAACTAGTAGCTGACTGCTGCCCAGCAGTGTGTCAGGGACCCCTGCAGCACTATAATCTGGATATTGCTGCTCCTGCTACTACTGCTACTACTAAGTTACTACTACTGCTACTACTACTGCTGCTACTACTGTTGCTACTACAACTGCTACTACTACTACTACTACTACTACTACTACTGGCAACCAGTAATTAACTACTACTGGCAACTATATTTAACAATGTCTGACATGTTTCCTCAGGCGCAGAAGTCCTGGATAGAGAAGACCTTCAGCAAGAGAGAGTGTATCAAGTATGTGCCAAATCTAAGAGACCCCCATAGGTAAGGATGATTCCTATCTTCTTTTGTACCATGATCACTGTTTTAGAATATCAAAGTCGTTCAGATTTGGAGTGGTTTTCTTGATTTAATATTGTTACAAACTTTGTAAAACAATAAATCAACAAAACCACTCCAAATCTGAACGACTTTAATTAGTATGGCATATTTTGAGAAGACGATATTCTAGAATATTTGGTAAATACATGATGACAATCGTTAACGTTCAAAGATGTTACCAAGTACAGTAGGGGCATCAGCATTAGATAGCTTTAAACAATTTTTAGTGTCAGATGTCTAAGGGTTAGGTGTAACAAGACTTAGTAGTTCGGTGTCATATAGCCAGCTGCTGCCGCACCACATGCCTGTTAAGCTGGTGTGTTACGCCGAAGGGCGGTTATGCCGATATACAGATGCAGAATGATACAGATACGTATAATTGAAGAGAGAGTGTATCAAGAATGTGCCAAATCACACAAACCCCAATAGGTAAGGATGATTTATGATATCTGTCTACTGTGAGCTCTCATAATTCCTGCAAAGGTACCCTAAGGCCACCACATTAAAAAGAAATGGTGTTATCGAAGCTTTCTCAAGAGTGTCATAAACCACCTAAATATCTGATGTGTGCAGACAGCAGGGACCCATTGGAAGATCTCTTTAAATTTGCTCTTTTTTTCATTTTTTTTCATTTGGTATTGTCCTTGGTACTGAAATCTCCAATACCTCTTTTTCACTTTGGTGCTGTCCTTGTTACTGAAATCTCCCATACATTTTTTTTCACTTTAATACTGTCCTTGGTACTGAAATCTGCCATACCTAATTTTTTTTCCTTTTTGGTACTGTCATTGGTACTGGAAATCTCCCATACCTCTTTTCCATTTTGGTCTTGTCCTTTGTACTGAAATCTCTCATACCTGTTTTTCCTTTTGGTACTGCCCTTTGTTCTGAAATCTCGTATACCTTTATTTTTTTCATTTCGGTTCTGTCCTTGGTACTGAAATATCTCATCCTTTTTCACTTTGGTCTTGTTCTTGGTACTGAAATCTCTCATACCTTTTTTCCTTTTGGTACTCTCCTTGGTACTGTCCTTGGTACTGAAATCTCCAATACCTGTTTTTTATTGGGGTACTGTCCTTGGCACTGAAATCTGAAATACCTCTTTCCTTTTTGGTACTGTCCTTGGTACTGAAATCTCTCATACCTTTACATGTATTTTTTTCCTTTTGGTGCTGTTCTTGGTACTGAAATTTTCCATACATGGTTTCCCTCTTTTGATACTGTCCTTGGTGCTGAAATCTCCCATACATGTTGGACTGGGTCCCGATTTCTGTCACTAGTAAAGATTAACGCCCTGCTCCCTGTTGGATGAGCCCGGAGGATATCACATGCTACGATTCATGATGTAGAACTGGCACGGATTATTGGTTTAAAGACCTGGCACGATACCATACTGTGGGCTGAATACAAATTCACACGATTATTATAGGATATTGGGGTTTTATTTTTACACCAGTAATAACTCTTACCTGCTTATGTTTTACATTTCAGTGTCTATTAGACACCTTCGAAGCAAGTGAGAGTTTTACTGGTTTTGTAAAAAGAATATCCCATATCTATGGATGCTTTACCAACCAGAGGAAATTAATTTTGAAACTCACATAATTTTGCATGCAAGCATGTATAGGATATTGGGGTTTTCTTTTTACACCAGTAATAACTCTAACCTGCTTAATATATATTTTACGTTTCAGTGTCTATTAGACACCTTCGAAGCGTAAGCATGTGAGAGTTTTACTGGTTGTGTAAAAAGAATATCCCATATCTATAAATGTTTTACAAACCAGAGGAAATCAATTTTGAAACTCACACAATTTTGCATGCAAGCATGTACCGTCACGTCATTGTGTCAGTGCATTAAACAAAAAAACTGCAGGTATGCAGTAATTCTGCATCAGTCTCAACTTGGAAGTGTACATAGAAAACCACAATATCCTATGTTCTACCAACCAGATGAAATTGTTTTTGAAATTCACACAATGTTGCATTATGCACTTATGTCATTGTGTCGATGCATTAAACAAGAAAACCGCTGGCATGCAGTTATTCTGCGTCCGTCTGGGGTTGGAAGAGGAAGTGTCTTATTAGCAATGGCTTAACAGTTAATCCTGGTAATGTATATAAAAGGGATAACAAGCAATTTCATTGACTTAACGGAAAGAATAACAACTTTTATAAGGTCAAGTTCACAGTACAACATGGAAATGTAAAATAAATTGGCTTAACACTAACAGTTAATCTAGGCAATGTGTAAAAAGGACAATTTTAATCTTTATTGATGCAAGCAAAGGTACAGTGGCTTTCGTAAGGTCAATTTTGAAATACAAATGTGAAAATAAAATGAATCAGCTTAACATTTAATACTTGTAATGTGTGTATTGGAAAGTGAGATCAAAGCTTTATTCAGGAACAAAAATTACACTCAGAGACTTTCCATTTGGCTTAATAGTTAATCCTAGTAATGTGTAAAAGGGATAACAAGAAAGTATAGCCACCTTTATGTGTCATGTAAGGTCAAATTCAAAATGGAAAAACAAAATAAGTAATTGGCTTAACATCTAATCCAGGTAATGTACAATTTTAAAGGTAAAGGACAATTTTAATCTTTATTGATGCAACAAAAGGTACAGTGGCTTTTGTAAGGTCAATTTTGAAATACAAATGGAAAATAAAATGAATCAGCTTAAACAGATAATCCAGGTAACATGTAATGTGTACATTGGACCATTAAGATCAAAGCATTATTGAGGAACAACAATTACATTTTGTACACTCAGAGACTTCCCTAAGCCTAAGGCCAACTTCAAACTAGAAAATGGAAAAGTTACTCTAAATCAGCGTAACACATAATCCAGATATAACAAGAAACTTAATTGACACAATGGAAAGTACAGCAACTTTTATAAGGTCATGTTCACAGTACAACATGGAAATGCAAAATAGATTGGCTTAACGGTTAACCTAGGTAATGTGTAAAAGGACAATTTTAATCTTTATTGATGCAACACAGGTACAGTGGCTTTTGTAAGGTCAATTTCAAAATGCAAATGGAAAATAAAATGAGTCGGCTTAAAAGTTAATCTTGTAATTTTTATATCGTACGAGATCAAAGCTTTATTGAGGAACAAATATTACACTCGGAGACTTTCCTAAGGTTGACAAATGCAAGCTACAAAATGGAAAAGTAAATCGTCTTAATGGTTAATCCTGCTAATGTGTAAAAGGAATTGTAGTAAGAAAGCTTTATTGATGCAAAAAGGTACAGTTGAGTTTCGTAAGGTCAACCTTATTAACTACAAAATAGAAAGCAACATGGATTGGCTTAGCAGTGATCTAGATAATGTGAAAAGGGATAATTGCAATCTTTATTGAAGCAATAAAAAGGACACTGACCTACACAAGGTCAAGTTCAAACAATAAAATGGAAGCACAAAATGAATCTGCTTACATGCAGCAGTTAACACGTATAATGAAATGGATAATGTCTTTGAGATCAAAGCTTTATTACTGTATTATACTAACAGCAACTTTTATAGGGTCTGAAGTACAAGTTTAACCACAAAATGGGAATACAAATTATTGGCTTAATAACAAATCCTGTTAATGTGTAAAAAGTACAATTAGAAGTATGCAATAAAAAGTAATATATAAGTGATTTTTCAAAGGTCAACTAACAACAAAATAGAAAAATGGGAAATATTATTAATATTACCATTTTCTGCAACCAACATATTAATTAATAATATTTCTGAATCAATGGTAAAGGCTGCAACGGATCATGCTTTTTGTCAAGAACCTTTAATTTGGTTACATCTATTTCTGTAATTTGACTAGTAATAAGAAGTTATATTAAAAACCAAATTTTCTTGTACAGTTGTGAAAGTACATAATCCCAAGGTTACATGACACATGTGCTTTTAGAGTCCTAAGGCATGGTTCCAAGTTGGCTACAAAGCTGTCTGTACACTTCCTGTAGAAAATTGTTATAAATGGCTGGATCTGTCCTCCATTTCCCTCTGGCGTCCACCTCCAAATCTCCTACCGATAGCAGCCACTCTCACACGCACGGTTAGGCTGTCATTAGGAGAGCGTATTAGGTGGGAACCCTTCATGTCTGAACTGGCATTAAGGGCAGTAAGTAAGTGACACAACAGGTCAGGTCAGAAGATTACAGTTTACAGCCTCAGAACACCTCAATCGGGATGACTTTCACAAGTACAAGCTATCTGGCACACAGTTTCTGTGATAGTTACAGTACAAGTGCACAGGGTACATGACTCTGTAAGACTCTGAGATTACAACTACAGAATACCTCAATCAGGGTGACTTTCACAGTTCAAGTGCTCTGGCACAACGCAGTTACTGTTACTAAAGTTTGCACTCTTTACACAACACAGTAATAGAGTTTAGATTGCAGCCGAACATGGCGGGACTGGCATTAAAGGGCAGTAAGTGAGGTCAGAGATAAGAGGGGTAAATGACACAAGGGATAACTACACAACACGGGTAAGTTAGCAGATTACACAGCTAGCTATAGAACACCTCAATTGTAGTGACTTTCACACTCACAGTACGAAGTAACACTCTTTACACAACACAGTAATAGTAGAGTTTAGATTGCAGCCGGACATGGCGTGACTGGCATTAAAGGGCAGTGAGTGAGGTCAGAGATAAGAGGAGTACATGACACTGTGATCTGGGATAACTGCACAACACGGGTAACTTAAAGCAAATTGCACTCACATACACATAAAAAAGCCTGGTTACCAAACCTATCAATTCATAAAGCAAATGCGGAGAGGATGTTGGACTCAGGAGCTATGATATGTTTGGTAACCAGGCTAACATACATAATACCTCAATTGTAAATTGTACAGTACAACCACTCAGACACCACACATGCAGTCAGGTCAGCAGATAAAAGGGGTACATGACACTATAGTCTGGGCAATGAGTCAGACTTGACCTTCAAACTTGACCTTGAAAGTCCTTGCCTCCCCCGCACCAGGAGATGTAGGTGTGGGAGGCTGGCGAGGGGGAGCACTTCTGGGAAGCGTTATCGTTAGAGTTAGTTTTAGGCTCGACCTTGAGACATGACCTTCAGACCTGACCATGATTGTCCTTGCCTGAGCCCATGAGACGTAGGTGTGAGAGACTGGAGGGGGAGCACTCCTCGGAACGGTTAGTGTTAGGCACGACCTTGAGACATAACCTTCAGACTTGACCTTGAGATTTGACCTTGAGTGTGTTTCCCCTGCAGGAGATGCGGGTGTGGGAGGCTGGAGGGGGAGCACTCTTCCGAAGGGTTAGGCTTAGTTTTAGGCTCGACCTTGAGACATGACCTTCAGACTTGACCTTGAGATTTGACCTTGAGTGTGTTTCCCCTGCAGGAGATGCGGATGCGGGAGGCTGGAGGGGGAGCACTCCTCAGAAGCGAGGAGCGCCCAGAGCACATCGTGCATGGAGGAGGTTCGGTGGACACCAGCGGCACACACAGAGGAAAACCCATCAGATGCGTTTGGAACACTGGAGTTCCAGGGGGCAGGGCACACCAGCAAGGCACAGGTAGGGCCGGAACAGATGTGTACAACAGATAGAGTTGGTAAAAGATTGGGGGTGTGTTTTTGGACTCCTGACAAAACAGGACACAGACATGTCACTGATAACAAATTTTGTCACTGGATCACATTTGTTGAAGGTCATTGTACAAGTTTGGTGCAGGAGGATTTTCAAGCAGACTAGTACTGTAACAGAAGCAAGCATATAAGACAGGCATTTACATAACAAGACAGCCGAATTTTGTTTTTGTAGGGTAATCCCATAGTTTGCAGTCGACAATCACACATTAAGCTTTCTCTTTGGTGTATTACTTACAATGCATGTAAAAGAAATCTGGTACAATGTATGTTCCATTGTACAGACTTATAGCAGTTATTATATTATTGTAAACTGCTGAAGTGTTAAACAGAATGTCTGTATTGTTCCAGTATGTTCGTAGTCCTAACAAAACTGTTGAAAAAAATTGATTAACTGTTACAGCATGTTTGTGTCATTCTAGAGTGTCCTATCTAAACTGTTTCGTGAGAAGTTAAACACAATGTTTTTGTTGTTCTGTAGTGTCTAATGTTTTTGTTCCAAATTATGTTCGAATGTTCTAGACGTTAACTAGAGTGTAAGAGTTTTAAATGCAATGTCTGTGCTGTTCCATGTAGTACTTAAACAGCATGTTTGTGTTGTTCCAGTACGTTCGCATGTCGTACGACACGAAGCCGGACGTGATTCTCCAGCTGCTGACCAAAGAGTGGAAACTTGAGCTGCCCAGACTCCTCATCTCCATGCACGGCGGGCTGCAGAACTTTGAACTCCAGCCTAAACTCAAGAGGGTCTTCAGGAAAGGGCTTCTGAAGGCGGCAAAGACCACGGGAGCCTGGATTCTCACATGTGGCACTCACTCAGGTAAGGCTACCTCTCATTCATTCATGTGATATAAACTCCAGCCTAAACTCAAGAGGGTCTTCAGAAAAGGGCTGCTGAAGGCGGCAAAAACCACAGGAGTCTGGATTCTCACATGTGGCACTCACTCAGGTAAAGTTTGGTAGATCTCAAGGGATTTTGGACTGACAGAAATGGGTTTTTACATAAAGAGATGTAGATACAATTAATTATGATAAACCCAGCCTAAACTAAAGAGGGTCTTCAGAAAAGGGCTGCTGAAGGCGGCAAAAACCACAGGAGCCTGGATTCTCACATGTGGAACTCACTCAGGTAAAGTTAGCTCTCACACAACTCTGAACTGAGAGAGATAGGATTTGTTATATGTTAGTTACAGATATATGTACATGTGATAACTCCAGCCTAAACTGAAGAGGGTCTTCAGGAAAGGGCTGCTGAAGGCAGCAAAAACCACAGGAGCCTGGATTCTCACATGTGGAACTCACTCAGGTAAGGCAACCTCTCGTTCAACTCTGAACTGAGAGAGATGGGACTTGTTATATGTTAGTTACAGGTATATGTACATGTGATAACTACAGCCTAAACTGAAGAGGGTCTTCAGGAAAGGGCTGCTGAAGGCAGCAAAAACCACAGGAGCCTGGATTCTCACATGCGGAACTCACTCAGGTAAAGTTTGATCTCAAGGCTAGGGACTTTGAACTGACAGAGATGCAGAGGTGGATTTTTTTTCTACAGATAAGTAGCTGCATGCCATTAATTGTACAAATGATAATTGCTGAAGGCAGTTGTGAAGCCACTGGAGCCTGGATTCCCACATATGGCACTCACTCAGGTAAAGTTTTATCTCACAAAACTCTGAAAAATGTAGGATACAATATATTATGTACATGAACAATGATTCCTCCAGCCCAAGGTCAACATATGGCACTCATTCTCTGACAGGTACATGACATGTACAATGTAAATGTGACTCTCACAGCTTTGAAATGGAATTTGTATAGAAAAAGAAATGGAATTTGTATACTCTCTAAAGAGATCTAGATACAAATAATAATTTAACTGACAGCAATTGTCAAGAAGAATATTAAGAAAAAGATGATAAAGGTATCTCACAAAAACTTTGAAAATGGACCTTATGTACTTGAAAAATGAATCCAATTTGCACACAAAGCTAGAGATCTAGATACAAATGATTATTGTTGACAGCAATTGTCAAAAAGAATCAAGAAAAAGATCAAGGTAGCTCTCACATAACTTTGAAATGAATGTTATGTACAAGGAAGAGATAGCATTTGTATACAGAGAGATATGGATACAAAGGATAACAGTTGCTGATACTAGATAAAGAAAAAAAAGTAAATGTTCAAGAAGAAAATATTAAAGAAAAAGATGATCAAGGTACATGTATCTCTCACACAACTTTGAAATGGATAATATGTATAAGAAAAAGAGATGAAATTTCTAGTATACAAAGTTAGAGATCTGGTGGGGTTAGAGTAAGTAACACTAAGTCTTTATTTTCCATCCCCTGCAGGTGTGACCAGACAGGTGGGAGATGCGATGGGGGAACTGTCCACTCGCACCAGGATGAGAATCTGTACCCTTGGGGTGGGCCCCTGAGGTGGGGAATTACCCCTGGGTGTGGGGTTAGATGATCTGTACCCTGGGCTTAATGTTGTATTTCCTGTCCCCTACAGGTGTGACACGGCAGGTGGGAGATGCAATGGGGGAACTGTCCACCCTCACCAGGATGAGAATCTGTACAATCGGGGTGGGGTTAGGTGATCTGTACCCTGGGGCTGGCCCCCTGGGGTGGGTTTAGCACTTATTTAGTAACTCTTTATTTTGTGTCTCTTCCATGCAGGTGTGACCAGACAGGTGGGAGATGCGATGGGGGAACTGTCAACTCGCACCAGGATGAGAATCTGTACACTCGGGGTGGCCCCATGGGGCATGGTGGACAACAGGGAGGACCTCATCAGCCCTGACGTAAGCAGGAAGTTCTCTTCTTTTCCCAAACTTGGCCAACATTTTGCCTCTTAGCTATTCACTACTGTAACCTTATGTAACCTTAAGTTAGCACACTGAAGTAGCCATTTCTGCATGGAGAAAGTTTATAGGACAATAAATTTGATCCTTTTCTTTCAAGGTATTGTCATCGCACAACAGCATGTTAAACTTTGAATTGGGGTTCAGTCACAGTAAATGAATCATAGTATTGTAAGGATGCCAAAACATGAACTTGAGATGAAACTGAAAATTTTAAAATTCCTATAGCACACTTCCTTCTGGCATACTGACTGTTTCCCCGCTGAGTAAGGGAGCCATCCTGAACAGTTATCACACACATTGTACTGCTGGCATCACGCCCACCACACCCACCCACATGTATCTAATACATGTATCTGTTCTCGCTCCTATCCAGGACATAAAGCAGTACCACACCATGGTGGACCCGCTCAGTAAGGGAGCCATCCTGAACAGTCATCACACACACTTCCTTCTTATAATTACTCACACATCCACATTTACCACATACACACACTTCCTCCTGACACTTACAGTTTACCACTCTGTCTATGCCCCACGATTGACAGTTTGACTCTGTCCTATCCAGGATATAAAGCAGTATCACACCATGGTGGACCCGCTCAGTAAGGGTGCCATCCTGAACAGTTATCACACACACTTCCTGCTGGTGGATAACGGCTCGGTCGGCAGGTACGGAGCAGAGAAGGACCTCAGGAAACACCTGGAGAGGCACATCTCTCAGCAGAGGATATCCATCAGTAAGTGTTACCGGTAACATCGTACATTCTTTATGGTTGGTCAGGACACCCAGACAGATTCACCGCGTTTTACAGCTGCATTGTTCCATAGGGTTAGTGTTTTACTGGAATGCGTGTGCTCAGCTCCAAGTCAGGTGGAGAAGAGATCATCTTTCCAGACATTACGTTTCTTAGAGCACTTCTAACTATCACTAATATTCATGCTGGGCTATAAATACATAGAGGGGTTGCTAGCATGTAAATTTTACTCCGTGTAACATTAAGGACAAAATCTTTTTTATGGTTATCTTAAGTTTGCAGAAAGGAGCACAAATTTGTGAATAGTTTAATCAGTAAGGTGACAGAAGGCCACTGAAACATCGGCTGAATAAACCTCTTGGTTGTGTAAAAAGAGTCTCTTTCAGGAAAACATATTGCTTTTGCTCCTTTTCCACTTCTTCTTTATGCCAAACAATAAAGGTCAATGACACCAGCAGGACAGAGTTGAAGGGGTTGGTCACCATATAACTTGTTATATGACATGTATTTGAGTAACAATAAACAGAGCAGCAATTTGATCGACATAACTGATAAGTGAGTCTAAGGTGTGTGTACATATTGTAGCTGTGATGTGTGTGTGTGTGGTTGTGTACGTACTATAACCATGCCTGTTTTCCCAGGAGATACGAAGGGTGTACCAGTGGTGTGTGTGGTAGTGGAGGGCGGTCCCAACGTGATCCACACTAGTAGACTCTCTAACGATAAAAACTTTTTTTCTCCAGGACATACGAAGGGAGTACCAGTGGTGTGTGTGGTAGTGGAGGGAGGTCCTAACGTGATCCACACGGTGTGTGAGTACACCAAGGAGGTTCCGCCCGTCCCTGTGGTAGTTTTGGACGGCAGCGGCCGGGCAGCCGACCTCCTGGCCTTCACACACAAATATGCCAAGGAAAACGGGTAAAGGATTCCAAAATTCATTACGTTTGTGGGGACTTGATAGAGGGGGGAAGGTCTAAAGTTTTCATGGTGTTCCTAGTTTTCAGTTAAAACAATTCTGTTGTACAGTTACTATAGCAGTGATACAATGAAAACACAATGTTTCCTGAATTTGCAGTGGAGAAGACACCAAGGAAACCTTCAAATCAAATGCAAACATTTCAACATTTACATCAAAGGGATTAACTTGACTTATCTAGTATTCAAAACATTTTTCTGTAAGAAGCATTCTAATTTTACTTTAAAAAAAAACTCTCTAGAAATATTTAGACCATTTTCCCATTGTACTGACCTTTGTAACTGAATTCTTGAATTCATGCTCCTTTGTGATGATGTATTAAGCTGATTAGAATGTCATGGAGTCATGTGGTGCAATGGCAGAGTGCTCGACTTGGAACTGAGAGGTCCAGGGTTTGAGTCCTGACATACCAGCAATCTTGTGCCCTAATATAGGCTTGGGAAAGGAACTTTACACGGCTTTCCCCACTTAAGTCAAGTGTATGTCTGTCCTGTATTTGTTTCTATGTGTGGGACACAACACCAGCAACAGCTGCCTGTGGTCAACGTGTATTGTACAGTTGCAATTTCAATAAATCAAATCAAATCAATGTCGTTCCTGTTGCACAGAACCATGGTGAGCGCTCTGCGGGACCAGCTCCTGGCCACTATCGAGACCATCTTCAGCTACTCCCACGAGCAGGCACAGCATCTCTTCATCGTCCTCATGGAGTGTGTCAAGAAAAAGGAACTGGTACAGAACAATACTCATCAATCTGTCTATCCATCCATCAATCAATCATGGCAATCATAATCAATATTCAAAATCCCAGCACAAGAACACTGGTGTTCCCTGTCTCCCACACCGTCAATCTTGAGAGAACCTTTCTACCCTCAACTTTAAAACTTTTAACAATAAAAATGTCAAGAAAAAGGAACTGGTACAGAACACCACTCAATCTGTCAATCCATCCATCAATCAATCGCAATCATTCAAAATCCTAGCACAAGAAAACTCTGGTGATCCCTGTCAATCATGAGAGAACTTTTCTACCATCAACTGTTGCACTTTGGAACAATCCTCCGAAGGAAATTGCTATGATCAGGGACAGACAGAAATGTTAATGTGAACTCAAGATAATTCTTTCCTCAGCACAAAACTCTGACAGCGTTCTGTCCAGGCAGTCTGGCTGCTGACCCTGAGCAAGAGCTGAGATAAAAGAATCAATAATACATAAACTACATTACAAATCGTCAAGAAAAAGGAACTGGTACAGTACACCACTCACCAATCTGTCAATCAGATCTCAATTAATCAGTCAATCAATATACTTTGAAAGTTGTTAACAAAAAGGAACTGATTTGTCACTCGTCATTCAGTCAACCTTTTTTTTTCAATTTTCTACCTCACAGACAAAGGTGTTGATCTGACATTCTTAAAATAAAAGTCTACAATTATTTAAGATATTTTATAGTCCATATACATTGAGAATTGAAATAATGAGCATTGAATGTTAGAAGTTTGCAGGAAGGCTAAGGACTGTTAAGCATATTTGCAACATTAAGCATCAACTATCAGGTACCCTTAGCAACTTTGGATGCTGAAAGGATGTACTTGAAGATGAAGCATGTTTAAAAACATGTCACTTACATGTATCACCCCAGATCACAGTGTTCCGGCTAGATGACCAGAAGGAGTGTCAGGACATTGACTTGGCCATTCTGACTGCTCTGCTGAAAGGTGAGATCATGCTTCACATTTAAGTTTATGAAATTAATGTCAGTGAACAGTTACTGAGGTATATACCTAGCCTCTGCCAGGCTTCGTGAGGAGGCTGAAAAGAGTAGAAAGTGGCCAAATAGAGAGTTAACATGCTGGGGGAGTTAGTCCGCAAACTGTACTCTCTAGCGGACCAACTCCCTATATATCTCTCTATTTCGCCAATTTCTACTCTTTCCAGTCGCCTCCTGAAGCCTGGTAGAGGCTAGCATAAACCTGTTCCAGATAAATTCACCCCAGAACAGACATACAATTTGGGAGGACCTGGCTTCAACTTGGAAGGCTTTATCTCAAACATCCTTTTTTACTGTATTATGCTTGACTGTATGACTCCTGCATTGCTATTAGATTGCTTTGGTAGCATGAATGCTAATTAAAAGTGAACTACGTGCATTTTGACATTGCTGAACTCTTTTTGTCATCATTTTGCATGTTTGCACATAAGCTTGTAGTGCTTTTGCTTTATTTTCATTTTTTTTTTGCGTCTTGTTTGTTCATGTTTTTGCCAGGTCCCAATATCATAAAACAAGTTCCAGAAGCTGTTATAGGTGATGTATAAGTTTCGGAATCGACCTGACCTCACATGGGGGAACTTTGGCTAACGGAATCTAACATGAGCTCGTGTGCGCAAAATTTCTTCTATGGTGCAATTTAGGCGTTAGCCGAGCATAAAAGAGCATGCAACGGTGATTACTGTGCAGTGGTTTGGAATTGTGTTCACTTCTCACTTCTATCAATTCTCAAAACTAATCAAGACTTCAGGTTTTTACATGTAGATGGATTGGGACTTTTTTTGCAACAAGTAATACGGTAATCTCTATACCAATGTACATTTGTAAGTGGGTGACTGTAGAATGTGAATGAGAGTCTCTACTGTTGTTCAATGGCCATAGATCCTAACTGTCATTTATATGACTTGTACATTTACAAAATGTAGTACTTGGGATTACATCACTCTTTCTCAGTCACTGGGTGGAGATCATACTTTTTAAGTTAGTAGATGTTATCTGAAATGCTTCAGAGAATGAAAGTTGCTTGATTTATTCTGTACAACAATGTCATGTACGATTTAATGTTCTTTCTGGATGTCTAACATTCATCAACGTATCTACTTGATTCCTACACCCCCCACCACTAAAGCCTGATTGAATAGTGCCCCCATAGCCTGTGGCTGATTGGCTGTCTGGATGCTAGATGGTAGATTGTATCTGTGAGCCATGGGGGATTGAGCCATGCCAGGAGGGTCAGAGATAATTTAACTTTACTACTACCACTGTACCAGTAGCTGTAGTACGAAAATCCTTTATGGACATTTCGAGTGACATCTGTCTCTCTTCTTCAGCATTACTAGTCATAACTGGAAGTAAATCTAAGATTATCATTTAGCACCTGGATTGGATGTCTTATTTCATGACGTATCTACCTGTGCTACAGCCTGATTGTGTTGTGCCCCAGTAGCCCTCCAGATTAGCTCTCTGATCATGAAGGCTCGATGGTAGATTGTATCTGTGAGCCTTTGGAATTGAGCCCTTCTAGGAGGGTCATAGACAATTCAAACTCTACTACTGTCTAGTAGGGAAATAACTCCTAGAAGTTTAAAGAGACATCCATTACTTTTCTTCAGCATCAAGTATGGTGGAGAGCCACTGCCTAAATTTTCCCAAATCCTGGGTCTGCTTAATATCAAACTTCCCATTTTATCAAAATAACTCTAGTCTACCCTTTTGTATAACGCTCTCGAATGCATTGTGAAGAACACAGTGTGTGGCTGTCTTTTAATTGCCTTCTTATTGTAATCATCAGTACCAAGGGACATGTCTGTATGTGTGTGGATGGTGTTCAGCACCAAGGACAGGTATGATCAAGTGTGTGTGGATGGCGTTCAGCACCAAGGACATGTCTGGATTTGTGTGGATGGCGTCCAGTACCAAAGACAGGCATGTTGTATGTGTGTGTGGTTGGTGTTCAGCACCAAGGACAGGTCTGTTTCTATGTGGTTGTTGTTCAGTGCCAAGAAAAAGTCACTATACATGTACATGTACATGGCTGATATTCACCAACAGATGGTCTTGCCTCTAACTACTCACTTTTTACAATACTGACAGTAGGGTTTCAGGTATATGTATGTATGCTGTCACAGTATTTCTAGCCTCAGTATTTGTTTATTGAAAGTTGTCTGTTGGTTGTTTTATCCGCCAGGCCAGCGGCTGTCAGCTCCAGAACAGCTGAACTTGGCCCTGACCTGGGACAGAGTCGACATCGCGCGCAGCCAGATATTTGTCTACGGACAGAAATGGCCGGTAGGTTTCCAACATTTTGATATCAAGGTGTGAACACAACTTTTTGCAGGTTTCTCCAATTCTTTACATAGTTTTGAATAGCTGTAAATAACAGATACTGATGTAGGTGTGCAAAATTCTGTCTAGTGTATAGTTTGTGGTGTATAGTTTTACACTAGACTATAGTTTGTTTCACAACTTGTTAGTTTGTGATCCTCTTTCTTAGACACAATGATGTGAACGCTGCAAGAGCATCTCTGTGTAGCATGGATGACAGCCTTTGTAGCTTCAGTACATTCTCTGTACACTTTCTTACTGAAGCTAAAAAGGCTGGCATCCAAACTAACCTTGTATCCAGAACCGTGCCTATCTAGTCTTTATGTCTGAAAAAGTAAGGTTAGGATCAGGCACAGTTGTGAATAGTCTCCCCATACCCAAGAACATACATGTAGCGTGGACTTTCCAAAGCCAATGGTTCTGGATAAGCATGGTTTTGAATGTAACAAACGTTTTTGCAGGTATATTACGTACACATGTACATTGTGAATAACACTGTCTCTTCCTGCACTCTTGTTTCTTCCCTTTTCTTTGTGCCACCCTTTCTGTCACCCTGACACTGACCGGGCAGCCTCACAAGAAGGTAGATAGATAACTTGCTTTATCACTCACAGCCTTTGGTTGTCTGTTTCTAACACTCTCACTTGTTACAAATTATTTCTATTGAATATGGTTTGCAATATTAATTGATTTTGATGAAGAATGAGTCATATTACAGTAGTACACATACCGGTACATGAATTGTGAGACCTATAAAAGGCATATTTACTTCGCAGTATGGGAAGTATTGTTTTGGATGGCTAAATAAGCTGTGGGTTTGTGTGTATGTGTTTCTGAACAAAGCACAGTGCTGACAGCACAGAGAGGGGAAGATTGACAGGCAGAAAGACAGGTCCTGGAGTTCTCAAGGTCAGATACATGCAGTGAACGTTTCAGAGTCTGGTCGAGAGCCAGCAGGAGATAGTGATCAACGTGGGGGAATTCAGGAACAAGCCAAGATTTGGAAGTTGTTTGTTGCTATACAGAAACAGCATTTCTGTTGTGATTGTAAATTTTGTAGGCTGCTCAAAATGCCCAATGGCCAAGTGGGTAGAGTGCTCGCCTTGCATTTGGGTAGGTCGTGAGTTTGATCCCCAGCCATCAAGGTCACACATAAGATTTGAAAAATGGTATTTACTGCTTTCTTTGCTCAGCGCTCAGCATTTAAGAAAGAGTATGGGAGTTAAGCACAGACCACTACCAGTGGACCAGCCCCCTGCTGTATACGTGTAGTGATTGCACAATTGCTAACAAAGGGCTATGAAACGGAGATGCCATATGCAACCATGCTAATGGTTGTAGGAGGGCTTTAACCTTAGTTCAATATGTGAGCTTCAGTCAACTTTTACCCAAACCTGTCATTCCAACAGAAACTGACAGGGGTCTCTCCTGTGCTTTGTCAGGTTGGTTCCCTGGAGCAGGCCATGATGGATGCACTGGTGAATGACAGGGTGGATTTCGTGCAGCTTCTGTTGGAGAACGGAGTCAGCATGCAGAAGTTCCTCACTATAGCCAGGCTGGAGGAACTATACAACACTGTAAGTCTCGCAGATAACAAGATACGATCTCTAGCTGTAACCAATAAACAAGCTTTCTGATGATATTTAGAGTTAGGGTTGGGTTAGGATTGATGGAGTATTCGGGATACAGAGGTTTTGTACCATAGCCAGGCTGGAGGAGCTCTACAACACCGTAAGTCTCGCAGATAACACTGTCAGCTCTATAACACTGTCAGACACAAGCTCACAATACACTAGTCTAACATTAGACATTAGACAGGGTGGACTTTGTGCAGCTTCTGCTCGAGAACGGAGTCAGTATGCAGAAGTTCCTCACTATAGCCAGGCTGGAGGAGTTATACAACACTGTAAGTCTCGCAGATAACACTGTAAGTTCTACAACACTTTAAGTCTCATAGATAACACTGTAAGTCACAAACGCACAAGACACTGACATTAGACAGGGTGGACTTTGTGCAGCTTCTGCTGGAGAACGGAGTCAGTATGCAGAAGTTCCTCACTATAGCCAGGATGGAGGAGCTATACAACACTGTAAGTCTCACAGATAACAAGAGACAAACTCACAAGTCACAATCTTACAAATGTACAAGGGTTAGGGTTAAGAATGGAGTCAGCATGCAGAAGTTCCTCACCATAGCTAGGCTGGAGGAACTGTACAACACTGTAAGTCTCACACCTTACATGCATACAATGTAATTAATTATGAAAGTATTCAGCATGCAGAGGTTCTTCACTATAGCCAGGCTTAGTTATAACCAATAAACAAGCTTTCCAGAGATGTAGTTAAACAGTTCATATGGGATTGACTGTATATGTAACTTTCTCTTTTTCTCTTCCAGAAACAAGGTCCAAGCAATACACTACACTACCTTGTTAGGGATGTGAAAAAGGTAAATTGATGTGTTTACTTCTCTTTTTGTCACATGAAGGTTATTAAAGATTATCTTAATTCACCTTAATGTTCATAAGTTTCTGTGCAGATTAAACGCAGTATTTCCAAGCCCTATTTCTATAGGTAGAGTCTGCAACCACTCAGGGACTACTGAGGAACCATAAGTTTGATATGAGCAACAAATTTCATTAGGAAGGAACAAATTTTTGTGTGTTGTTCGCAACTTAAGTCATACTTTTACATAGTTAGTCATATTCCAAACATAAAATCAGGGGTTACACAAGTCCAATTTTGGTTGCTAATTAATCACCATCTTGTGGAAAGAAGGCTTAATTTGAATGTTATACCTCGTTCCTCCCCCCCAGAACATGACGAGTAACTCCAGGTACAACCTTATCGACATCGGGCTGGTGATAGAGAAGCTGATGGGTGGAGCCTACCGCTGTGCCTACACACGCAAGAAGTTCAGACTGCACTATGCACAGACCACTCAGAAGAAGGTGGGGGTTGCATTGTCTTGTCATTAACCTCATTACAGTTTGTTGTTCTTTTTTAATCAATTAGATAGCTTTGAACAATGTTTAGAGTTGGATGTTTAAGGGTTACGTGTAACAAGTTGTTTGGTGTAATGAAGCCAGCTGCCTCAGTGCCGCATGACTGTGAAGCTGGTGTGTTACACCGAAGGGCGGTATACAGAAGGCTATAATCAAGTACATTTTATGGATGACATCCTCTGCAAACTCCAAATCTAATGCAAGTCGTGGAGCAAAAAAACAAATAAAATTTGCAAAATAAAGTCATTGTACATCTACAACAACACTCAAGGCAACATCAGAGGGAACAATTTTATTGTTGTTTTTTTTTAAATTTCAAAATCAGGTGAAAGTCATTGATGCACCGGCAAATGTCATCCATAAGAATTAGAATGTACTAAAGTCTTGCTGTAACCCATTAGCAAGGAAGTGTGATGTCTAGAGGGAATGTTTTCAACCATATTCCAAGACACATTTTCAGTCTTCAGTATGTCAACCATCGTGTGTTCACTCATACATGTACATTGTACATGTTATTGTGTTGTCCACTCTTGTTGTGTTTGTTCTTGACCACGTCACTGTGTATAGTTTTGTCCTTTTCTTTCGGTAGTTTTAGTCAGTAACACTCTCCTTTCTCCGCTTTCCTCTTTCTCTCTCTCTCTCTGTGTTTTTCTTCCCTGCAGTCGTTCCAACCCCTTTCCCACTTCTATCAGTTTTCTCATAAGGTGGGTTCAAACCAAAATAAGCCTCTAGCAAAGTATCAACACTTATTGTAACTATTTGTTAAAATTGCAACAACGCAACTGTTGCAGACCACAGAAAGTATGTGACAGTAACTTACCAGTGGAAAACCTCACCCCTACCCACCTCTTAGATGACTTGCATCACACTGTCACATGAAGTATCATTGCATGGTCAATTATTCATTAAATCATATTATGCTGTAACAGTTTTCAATTCTTGTCATTCCCCTTTGATGAAAGCACCATGCGCCCATTGTAATTATATCATGAGCACTCCACCAGATCAGCTATACATAAGTACAAGTACAAGGGCCTGTTAATAAGTACAAGTACAAGGGCCTGTACAAGGGCCGGTTTACAGCTACAAGTGAGGGCATTCTTTGGACAGTCAAAATTCAGCTTCGTGTGATGGAAAAGGTTGCTGTAGATACGTGCTGATATTGTCGTGGCCTCATGGTAAAGGCTCAGTGACAAAAAAATTGTACAATGTGACCTTGCCTTAAGATTGTAGTGTGTTCTGGCCTCGAAATTCATTTTTGGGAACAAAACGTAAAAAAATTAGGTGCACAGAAAATTTTTTGGGTGCACCTGGGAGCTAACTTCAAAATCTTACACAATAATACAACAAAAATGTTGTCACTTTTCTGACACTTCATACATTAATCCAGCTCTTATCCAGCCATCATCATTGCAGCTGGCTCTAAACCAGTATGGACATTGTTCAGACACTACATTTGTGACTGGTTTTCTATCTGCTGTTTCCAGTACCTGAGCCGAGCGATTTCCTCTGAGCTGACCAGCGTGAAGATCGAGCACGACGCGGTCCCGCCCAAGCCCACCTTCCAGTACCCGTTCCACGAACTGTTCGGCTGGGCCGTCCTCATGAAGAGGCAGAAGATGGCCCTCTTCTTCTGGAAGCAGGGAGAGGAAGCACTAGCAAAGGTCAGTGTTTTTTTTAATGAATTTGTGGTTCTTTTGGGCCCTTGTCGTCTTTCCACTGACGATCTACAGCTTCAGTCAGATTATTGCAAGGAAAAAAGACCTCTTCTAAACATAGAGCTATACATGTAACTAAAGAATGATTAATTTAACATTACTTTTTAAGGCTTGAGATTTGTCGGTTTTATTTTTTAGGCAAACTCAAAAAACTTGTCAGGGAGAGAGTTTTGTATTTAAATAATTTACAACAGAGTTCCATATTTGTCAGTCTCCAAGAAAGCATTCAATGTTAACCATCTTTTTTAAGTCTTTTTACAGTTGGGGAAATAAACCCACACAACCTACCACATGAAAAAGAGAGCACTGTATTGACCCACTAGGCTATTGCTGCAGATCAGCAAGCAGAGACCGTATTGATTTAAAACTTGGATGTTTTACTCCTGAGTCTGGTGCAATATGGCTTGGCTGTGTGCAGTTAAAGAGTTAAACTTAAAGTTTGTTTTTTTGTTTGTCCAGGCACTGTGTGCCAGTAAGTTGTACAAAGCCATGGCGTATGAAGCAGCCGAGGATGACCTTGACCCTGACATCTCGGAGGAACTACGACAGAACTCCAAGTACGTAATGGCTGTATACAAGTTCAAACACTTTACACTTCATCTTTAGCAATAATACTAGATTTGTTTAAAAATTACAAGGCGGGACAAGGCGAAAATACCCTGTGCCTTACCAAGAAACTGAGCTACACAATTATTGTACAATCATAATGATCCATAACATACAAGCAGATGTTCACTGTACCATAATCAATTGATTAAAAAATCCAGATTCAGGTCATTTTCAAAATCTTAGCTTGGCAAGTCTAGTTTACTCACATCCCAAGTCATCACTGATAAAGATACAAAGAACTACTGTCAAAAAGTAGCAGCCTGTGAGAGCAGCTGGCTTAGTCTATTAGTGACAGTGTTTAAATCCCTCCCACCCCACTAGGAAGTTCCAAAACCTGGCCTTACAACTGCTGGATCACTGCTACCGCCAAGACGACACCAAAGCTATGCAGTTCCTGTGTTTAACTTGTGCAAAGAGAACCTGAGGGTTTTAAAAACTAGTAGACATTGTCACTGTGGTATTGGGCTAACAGTTTTTAACTCCCAACCCTCACCCAAACACAGGAAGTTCCAAAACTTGGCCTTACAACTGCTGGATCACTGCTACCGCCAAGACGACACCAAAGCTATGCAGTTGCTGACCTACGAGCTGAAGTACTGGAGCAAGCAGACGTGCCTGAGCTTGGCTGTGGCGGCGAACCATCGGGAGTTCATCGCACACACCTGCTGCCAGGTGCTGCTCAGCGACATGTGGATGGGAGGCCTGCAGATGAGGAAGAGCAGTGGCCTGAAGGTACATATTAGGGGTGAAGGAACTGGTTACTTTTGTCCATAAAAAAATTCTTCTACGACCAGAATCTACTAAAATTGAATATGAACTGTAAGCAACATGCTCAGCAACATGTGGATGGGCGGCCTGCAGATGAGGAAGAGCAGCGGCCTTAAGGTAATCCTCATTCTTATGTATCTTTATATGCCTTCGTCATTGTCAAGGACAACAGACAAATGAGAAGTTTCTTTCTTCGTATTTCCCCATGCCGTTTTGATAAGTACTGGTAATTTGGTAGTCTTAGACTGCTAATGACCAGAATCTAATTAACTGTAAGCTCTAATTCTGTATATGAATGGATGGCTGCAGATGAGGAAGGGCAGCAGCCTTAGGTTGGTGGTGAAACTACTGGTCACTTATGTCCATGTAACCATGCAGCAAGCAAATTAAGACGGTATGCATGGCCATGTCACCAGATTCACAGGGCTGACAAGGAGTATCCTCCATGCCAGTGTGATAAGGGATGAGAAGAAGAGGCAGACAGAAGAAGAGGATAACATCAGAGCCTGGACAGAGCTGGGAGTCTAAATGAGACCCTCTGGATAGCAGAAAACAGAGAAAGGTGGCCCTGGGGTAGCCTAAGGCTGCTGATGAAAAGAATCTACTCAACATAATCAATGGTTCACAGTAGAACCCTGTGATGATGGATATAAACCAATACCAACATGCTTTATTCTTGTACAGGTGATAATGGGCATCCCTGGAGTTCAAGTCACGGGAAGAGTTGCAGCTCATGCCTCAGACCATCGAGAGACTGTTACACATAAAAGTGATGACTATGTTACTATTGTTGTTTAGGTGATAATGGGAATCCTGTGCCCACCAACCATCCTGACACTGGAGTTTAAATCGCGGGAAGAGTTACAGCTCATGCCTCAGACCATCAAGAGACTGTTACACATGAAAAGTGATGTGTTGTTGTTGTTGTTTAGGTCATAATGGGTATCCTGTGCCCGCCAACCATCCTGACCCTGGAGTTCAAATCGCGGGAAGAGTTACAGCTCATGCCTCAGACCATCGAGGAACACATCCTGGACCTGCAGGAGGATTCTGTCTCAGTGTTTGACAGCGACAACGACAGCGAAGACTCCAACATGGCTGTAAGTCCTGAGTGTCATTTGTGTGAGATGGAAAAAAATACTAAAGCTGGAAAAGGTTCAATTTGCAGGTTTACAACTTGAAGTTAATTCAAGGAGCAGGAAAAATCTTAATGATGCAATTTTCATCAATTGAAAAAATAAGTATTTTTTTCAGTTAAGTTTATGATAAAGCTTGAAACATCTCTCAGCTTGTTTTATATATTAGGTGATGTTTTCCTGACCTTCTTTCGGGATATGAAAGGGTTTTTGTCATCATCCACCAGCATAAGAGACCAGCATTCTATGATTTTTATAGACTGATTTTTCCAATTATTATCATAATAAAAACAGTGTCTGGTAGACAAGCACATAATCAACTTGCATGCTCTAAACTTCAACTAAACGCTTCACAGACGCCCTTTTAAAGGTTAACATCTTTCCTAGTCAACTTTGCCTTCATTAGTAGTGGACGCATGTTGTCCATTTCTCTGTGCTAGCCTCCTGTTGTATCCAGAACCACACCTATCTAGTTCTATGTCTGAATGGGCTAGGGTTAGGATCAGGCTAGAGTTCTGGATAGTCTCTGCATATCCAAGAACACAGATTTGCCTCAGGCACGGTTCTGGATACACGTGGACTATCCAGATCCGTTCCTGAGCAAGGTTCTGGATAGAGCTTGGTTCTGGATACACATGAACTATTCAGAACCTTGTCTGAGCAAGTTCCTGGATAGAGCATGGTCCTGGATGCACGTGGACTATCCAGAACCTTGTCTGAGCAAGGTCCTGGATAGAGCTTGGTTCTGGATACACCACTGGACTATCCAGAACTGTGTCTGAGCAAGATCCTGGATAGATTAGAGTGCAGTTATGGATACAACCCCTCCACTGTCATGTGACCATGTGTGTTGTCTGTGTTTGTGCCCACAGTTTGCCACATTGTATGAAATTGGGCTTGAAGTTCAAGGTGGTGCTGTGATCCCGGCTGCAAGGATAGTCAACGTACGACAAATTTCCAACAATCAATTTTTTTTTCTCAGTACAAATTACTTAAAACTAAGTCCTAACACAAGGCAGCCTTACTGCACCCCAAAATCTTAAAAAGCAGCACAACCTTTTTTTTCAAGCATCAGATTTTCAGCAGTTTTCTTTTGCAACCAGGATAGCATGCATTTTTAATTGATTATTTGATTAACTTTAAATCACTTCTTAGTGACTATGGTGATAAAGAATATTATTGATTCTAGTCCAGAAAAAAATTCAATTTGTTTGCTGACAGTTCCCCCACCCGTGATCTAAATACTGACAAAATTTTTTATATGATTTATCACAGCGACATTTCAACAATTTTATATGCTATTTTTGTACACAGTTAAGTGCGTACCAACAATCTTTTGATCAGTTCTCTGAGTTAAAATGACCCAAATTAGAATGACCATTTGCGTCAATGTGTCAAAGACTTCTGGTCAGTTCAAAATATGAGTAAGATCAAACTTTAAATCATTCAAAGGACTGATAGAAAGCTTCTTGGTATTGCTCTACTTTGTGTGCAGAATTAGCGTTACTAGTATTTATATCTTTACAACATACATGCAAATAACCATCACAGCTAAACTTTCGTTCGAATATCACAGCGACTTTGCTCCATCTCCTGTTTTCTGCGTCATGCCATTGCTTTATTTCCAGCCTGTATGTTTGACATTATATCTCCCTATGAACTCTTTTCTGTTGCCTTCCATGGTTTTTCAGGATAGTCTTAGTTCTGACGACCTTCTACCCCCGTCCAATGGTCCCCAAACAAAGGTTTGTTTTAATTCTCCGACATCAGCCCAGGTCCATCCACAAGGCTGCCTTCTCACTCACCTTAAAATTTGCACTAATGTTTCAATGTTTCACTGTACAGTTATAGTTGGCGAGTATAGCTGTGTTGGGTTCAATTTGGTGCATAATTTTCTTAAAGATCAAGTTGCAGCACGGTCACATTTGTCATAGGTTGTTGTACGGTTTTTTGACGTTGTAGAATGTTTAAACAAATTAAGTGCTGACAAGGATCTAAAACAGCTTTTATTATTACCAGACACCTGAATTCTGTACGACACATGCACTGTAATTACAAGAATGCCTTCTGTTGGCGAGCGTACAACAATTGTACCACGAATGTGACTGTGTCCTTAGTGGCAGTATGTGTTCTAGGCTTAGGTAACAACTGGTGGAATAGGGTGCAGTAGGGAAAACACATCAGATTCCACACTGTTTCACTTCACCCCCTCCCTGCCATGGTAGCCTATTTGCCCAAACATTAGGCTGGTAATGGGGTCTGGTAACAGGGATGAGGTATAAGACCAGGCAAGAGCTCTTTCTATGGTTTGACAGTTGTTGGTAAAACAGAAAAAATGGTGAATGATTTGTGTAGCTGCTTAGTAAGTTCATGTACATGTAGACTTACTAAGTCATTGTTAATCTCCAAGCAGATCTTTCAGTTGGGTGGCAAAAGACAGTATCCATTGGCCATCCTGTATCGATTTCCCAATCTTCGGTGGCTAATGGACACTCCTCTGGCCAATGGATACTGTCTTGCCACCAAAAGATCTGCTTGGAGATTAAGTCATTGTAACATGTACATGACTTGTACATGTATATTGAGTTGGTCATACATCATGATAACAGTTTTCTTCATAATTTTTCACGTTCCAGAATGCAGATGACACGATAGACCTGGCCAACATCTCGGCGGCTGCCCAGAGGAAGATGGGAATCGATGAGGAAATCCTTGCAGTGCTGAACGCGCCGGTCGTGGAGACCAAGAAGAGCTCTCTCAGGCTCGGCAAGAAGATCTACGAGTTCTACAATGCTCCAATCACCAAGTTCTGGGTCCACACCGTAAGAAACAGTTTTTTAAACAAATTTGCTCGATGTAAGGCCAGGAGAACACTTCTAGGCACTGAACTACATGATTTGTGTAAGTTGAGGTTACTGGAAAAGCATTTCTCGATCCTAAGTTAGAAACTGCAATGCTGGAGACAAGCTGGACCCACTGAGAGTGAGGACTAACTGACCCAAAAGGAGAAGCAGGACGTGGTGTTACGAAACCTGCTCTGGAACCCTATGTGCTCTTTGAATTTGGTACATGTAATCTCTCTGTGTTCCTCTGAACTTGATTTAGTCAACACTAAGTCTTCTAAGCTGACCCTAAATATTTCAGCCTTTTGAGTTTGAAGAAATTTATGTCCCAGAACATTTTTCATCCATCCGTCTTACTGTCACATTAATTAAAGAAACAGTGCCTAATGTTACAATGCCCTTCCTGTAGATGTTGCACATGTACATGTCATGTATGTGATTGTTGTTTCTCTTCTATGATGGCGTATGTTAAGTGTTGTGTGTTCCCCTGTAGATGGCGTATGTTGTGTTCCTGATGCTGTTTAACTACGTTGTGCTGGAGAGAACCGAGCCATTCCCGGGCTGGGAGGAGTGGTACATCATCGCCTACATCGTCACACTGGCTGTGGAGAAAGTCAGGGAGGTGAGTGGATACATGCCCATATAACCCTTATAAGACCCAGTCATACCTTCAGGACCTTCCCACAACTTTGCCCCCAACAGTACCCAACCAGTGCTGGATGAGAAGTAGCCTGGAATCCATCCTATTCTACCTAAAGTATAGTTCACTCCTCTGACCCAAGCAGAATACATTGTATGCAACTTTGATTATTCAGGATTAATCAAATTTTACATCAACTGAGATGCAGAGTATAGCTTGGTTATTTTTAGATCCTTGCGTGTGAGCCCAGTAAGTTGACCCAGAAGTTCTGGTTGTGTTAACTGTGCTGTTAACTTGTTATTGTGTTCCCCCCATGCAGATCCTTGTGTCTGAGCCCAGTAAGCTGACCCAGAAGTTCTGGGTTTGGTGGGACGACAACTGGAACCGCTGTGACACCATCGCTATCCTCGCTTTCCTCGTGGGCGTGGGGCTCAGGTTGGTTGGTTTGTTCGTTTGAGCCTTTGTTTATTCATGAAATACTCATTGACCAGCTCCAGCTTTGGAAAATGGAACATTTCAGGTAGCATCCATTACATACCTTTCATCAGTGAGTGAAAGAGATCTGCAGTTGACATATTTATCCCAATACTATGAATAATTTATTGATATACGCCAAAAAGGAGTTACTCAAACCTGGATGTCTAACCTTCATCGACGTATTATTGATATAATTATATAATTATGTTAGATGGATTAAGTCAAAGTTTTGATAGATCAATCATTATGGGAAACCAAAAATAAAACAAGGATAAAACAAGGTTGATGCTAGTAAATCAGTTACAGGACCTGTTGTCTGAGAACAGGAGCTAATGGTCAGTATAAGCATATGGTCAGTACATTGTATCTGTAACGTTTATTTGGGTTGTTTTGTTAATCTCAGGTTCCATGAGCCGACCATCCCGTATGGTCGTGTTCTCTACTGTGTGGACATCATCTTCTGGTACATCCGACTGCTGGACATACTCTCTGTCAACAAGTACCTCGGTCCCTATGTCATGATGATAGGCAAAATGGTGAGTTTATGATCAACTCAATCTTCACACAGATATGAAATTACATGATTTTCACCAAATTGTTGACTGGTTGCACCTAAGTATACATTTGTGTAGGGTTATGTAAATGTGCTATACATGTAATTGTAAACTACATTGTGTAGTATTCTGTACAATCTTTGCTTTGAAATGTCATGAAAGATAACAAAATGGTGTTACTTGAAAATTAGCAGTAGAATTTGATTCCAGAGGCAGTAAGATTTGCGATTAGGTTTTACTGAATATTACTTTGTTCAATGTTGTGCACCCCAAATTTTTTGTTGACCTAAAGAATGACTTAGGTTCACAGAAAAAATGTGTTATTCTATTACCAAAAATGTATTTTGAGCCTTGTAAAAGCTAACAACATGTTTATACCCCCCCCCCAGATGGTGGACATGCTGTACTTTGTCATCATCATGCTGATTAATATTGTGCTGATGAGTTTCTGTAAAGGTTATTAATTTGTTAACGAGGTTTTGATTAAACCTAACGATCTGAACCCCCCCCAGATGGTGGACATGCTGTACTTCGTCATCATCATGCTGATAGTCCTGATGAGTTTCTGCAAAGTTTATTAATTTGTTAACGAGTTATTAATTAAACTAACGACCTGCCTCTCTAGATGGTGGACATGCTGTATTTCGTCATCATCATGCTGATTGTGCTGATGAGTTTCGGAGTCGCCCGACAAGCCATCCGCAACCCCAACGAGGACCCCTCATGGATCAGTGCCAAAAACATCTTCCTGGAGCCATACTTCATGCTGTATGGGGAGGTCTACGCTGGGTCTATAGATCGTAAGTGCATTAAACCTTATTTATACTGTATATGCACTGTGCTAGGGTTGGATATCTCCGATGGCTAGTTTCATGATTGACAGTATATCTAGAACTTGAGAGATGCAGCCCTCTTTGCCAAAACATCTTCCTGGAGCCATACTTCATGCTGTACGGGGAGGTCTACGCTGGGTCTATAGATCGTAAGTGCATAAACTGTTTAAGTAGATTATATATAATAATTTTTTCCATACTATGGAGGTCCCGTGTTTGGGGAGAGCCACACCCCACACACATTAAAGAACCCACCGCACTTATGGAAAAGAGTAGGGGACCTTCCTGGTGTGAGTGGTTCAAACCTTACAGTCCAATCTTACACAGCTTGTACTTAAATATACAAAACTGGTGTGTCACTTTACGACTAAAGACAGTTTACCGGTTATGCGAAACAAATATCCCCAACATGTAGTTCATGGTTGACACTACATGATGTACATGTAGAAGTAACTGTTGATAAATGTGGCACTTTTCCAAAAACATCTTCCTGGAGCCTTACTTCTGCTGTACAGGGAGGTATATGCTAGCTCTATAGAGCATATAACTTTGTAAAACTATAGATTACATCCCCTAGTTTCATGGTTGACAGTAGATAGAAGACTCCATTGTATCTAATATAGTATGCCATAGATACAAGTGCAGAGGGAATCCACCCCCATAACACGGTTCTTGGAACCACTAGTTTTATGGTTGACAGTAGACAAAGGGAGATCCCTACATGTAGATTGTGCAGAGGGAATTCACCCCCAGGAATCCTTAGATTAGATACCCCAGTTTCATGGTTAACAGTTAGAGAGATGAAGAGATAACAATCCTACTTTGCCTACATCTTTTGTACGTGAAGAGTGAATCCACCCCCAAGAAAGCAGAACCCATACTAGGTAGTTTCATGGTTGATGGAAGAAGTTGAGATTCCACTGAGATTCTTACTTTACAAAAGATTTAAAACTTTGGGTAATGATACTTAAATCAAACTGAAACATGCTTCAGATTTTAATGTGAGGAGTCAATGTAAATTTGTTGTAATTATATTACTAACAGTAACCAGGTACAATTATTGTACTTCATAACTAAATTGTTGTTGTATACTGTATTATTGGTATATATTATTTAGCACCTGCATGTACTAAGTAAAGTATATACTATAAAATACAGTGTTATATATTAAGAATTTATGATAGTATGGAGGATAACCTATGGGCAGTCAGGCAGTACTTTTGTAATTATCTAGTATTGTCTGTGATCCAAAGTAAAAAGGAGTCTCAACTGTACCCCCATTCAACCTGTCATCTTTACAGTCAAGTATGTCCCATTTCATGGGGTTTTGGGTAGATATAACTCTTCAAGTTCAAGGATAATAACGAGGGAATAAACTTGGCATTAACAGTTGAATAGCAGTTTTGTAATGCTGCCAATACCTCAGTAAAATCAGCCTTTTATCTGTTTTAGACATATCATACTTACAGATAATGCAACACTACATTATTGTACCATATTAGTCTTCATGTGTCCATAAAGACCAACACATGCACATTATATATTAGGTGCACTTCAGTACTAAACTTATCATCTTCACAAGTATTTTCCATTTCATGGGGTTCTGAGTAGATATAAGTCTTCATGCTCAAGGATGATAACTAGGGAATAAATCTCATTGAGGTGCCTTGGCAGCTTGTACAACGTAACCTTGACATTCACAGTTGAACGCTACTTTAATTTTGTAATATTGCCAATATTTGAACTACACTTGCTGCATGTATTATTCTGTTCTGCTGCAATACTAAAGAGAGCTACTAGGAGGTCTATAATTGACCTTAACCTTTGTCCTCCCAAGACCTACCCACGTATCAAATATGATCATTATAGCATTTCCATCATACTAGTTACTGTAGCTTCTTAAATTTTTGCAGACCAAGGTATCCATTCATCCATTCATGTACAAAATGTAACAGTTGCAAACTTGTTAGTACATAAATACAATTTTCCCCCTGCACAGTTACAATGTAGCGCCATGTGGACTAAAAGAACGGCAGCCACCAGAGTACGTAGACGGATGGAGGCATCCCTGGTGCCTCAATCACTCCCCTGTAATTGTTTGCTTATGTCTAATAATATATAGTATGTTTACAACTCTGTTTGGACTAAAGAACGAAGATGGCAGCCTGGAGCCTGGACTCTGTACCTCCTAGTTTTTAAATGTTTAAGTGTGGTCTGAAGAACGAAGATAACTTTAGTATTATGTTTATGTTTACAGCGCCGTGTGGACTGAAGAACGAGGACGGCAGCCCGCAGACAGACAGGGACGGTAACCCGATACCTGACTGCATCCCCGGAGCCTGGATAACTCCCGCCATCATGACTCTGTACCTCCTGGTGGCCAACATTCTTCTCATCAACCTTCTCATCGCTGTCTTCAAGTGAGTGCAGGTTTTTATTCCCTTTTCCGTTGCCCCTCTCTCTTCCTCGGTGGACTGTTCCTTGCATGATATAATATTATTAAAGTTTTGGCTAGTCCCATTGACCGTGACACATGGCCGTACTAGGATGTCGGCAGAACGTACTGCACCTGCGCAAAACCCGTAATGTATTGTACATAGCACTTCAGCAGAATGCCTGATATAAGGTCATATTCACATATATAAGGTTTACATCCTGTCTGTAGTTTCCAATTAATGTTGTGGCGGAAAAGATATTGTCTGCAAAATTCTGATGCAACCTTGACCAAACATCCAAGGAAAATCTTAAAAATCAGGCAGAGGTGCAGTACGTTCTGCTGACGTGCTGGCCATACTTCATGTTTCTTTACTGTGGTTGGGAGGTCTTCATGACTGTGGTTTAGATTATTCAGTATGAAATAGATTCAAACCAATCCTGACAGCGTGTTTTTTCTCCCAGCAACACGTTCTCTCAGATCAAGGCTATCTCCAACCAGGTGTGGAAGTTCCAGCGTTTCCACCTGATCATGGAGTACGAACAGCGGCCGATGCTGCCCATGCCCCTCACCATCCTCTACCACATCTACATGCTGCTGAAGTACCTGGTCTGCGTGTGCTCAAGGTGCAGGCACAACAACCTCTACAGCGACAAGGGACTCAGTAAGTACATGTAATGTTACAGATTGTACATGCCTTAAATCCTAACCCAGGCTTGCACCACATACCCTAACACTGTAGCACATCTACATGCTGCTGAAGTACATGTACCTGGTCTGTGTGTGCTCAATAAGGTGCAGGCACAGCAACCTCTACAGCAACAAGGGACTCAGTAAGTACTGTGCATACTCTAAGTTTAGGGTTAGGGCTAGGGCTAGGGCTAGGGCTAGGGCTAGGGCTAGGGCTAGGGCTAGGGCTAGGGCTAGGGCTAGGGCTAGGGCTAGGGCTAGGGCTAGGGCTAGGGCTAGGGGTTTGGGTTAGGGTTAGGGTTAGAACTAGGGTTAGGGCTAGGGTTAGGGCTAGGGTTAGGGTTAGGGTTAGGGTCAGGGTTAGGGTTTGGGTTTCATGTATATACTGTGTTAGTGTTAGTGTTAGGGTTAGGGTACCAGAGCTGTTCCTGTTACTAGCAGTTACAGTAACATTAAAACTTGTGTCTGTGCAGAGCTTTTCCTGTTGTGTTAAACAGTTACAAACTTGTGTCTGTGCAGAGCTGTTCCTGTCAGATGATGATGTGGAGAGACTTCACGACTATGAGGAGGAGTGTGTGGAGGAATACTTCAGGGAGAAGGAAGACGCCTACGGGTCATCGACCAATGAAAGGATCAGGATAACACAGGACACGTGAGTTACATGAAACCTGTCATATTATATCAATAACAATATAATAATAAGTAAGCTACATGATACATAATACACACAAATGTATGTACAGTTGAATGAGTGACAACAAAGATGATTGATTGAAGTTTTGGAACTCTTTTTATTGAGTGTAAAGCAAACTTGATTTCCTTGAATGTGTCTTTACAGAGTGGAACACTTGTACTTGTCCATTCATGAACATGCTAGCTTTTGATGTCAGGAAAAAGAGTGGACTGGGTGTGTGTTTGGTCCCCCTAGTTTTATCAATAGTCTGACATAGACAAGCATGTGGTATCTCAATCTCAATCCTTCAGAAGTACAAAATGTAAATGAAGAAGAACCTTACTTCTGTCCTGTCAACCCAGAGTGGATCACATGTCCATATTGTCATATTGTTTCATGATAGTAATGTCCCACAGCAACTGCTATAGAATCTAATGTTGAACAAACTGTATTCCTTCCAGAGTGGAGCACATGTCAATGCGTGTGGATGAGGTCCATGAGAAGGAGGGTGCGGTGAAGGTCTCCCTGACATCGCTGGAACAGCGGTTGGCCCGGCTGGAGAACGCCTCGGCCGTAACCACGACAACGCTGCAGCGGCTGGAGATGTACCTCTCGCGCCTGGACAGCCAAGCCTCCAGCCTGGCCAGCATCAAGGCATCGGCTATAGGCCTGGTGGGGTCATCGCCCGGGTCTCCGGAGAAGGGCGCTGGATTCTACGCCTACGTCAACACCAGTGAGGAAAACCTCAAACGACAGGTAATGTGCATAGTCCCGTAGTCATTAGTAATGGCCTTCTAGCTTAATTAGTGTACATAGTTACAGTTTAAGTAGTGTGTGGTGTAGTTAAGCCAACATCAAGGCCTCGGCTGTAGGCCTGGTGGGGTCATCACCCGGGTCTCCGGAGAAGGGTGCTGGATTTTACGCTTATGTCAACACCAGTGAAGAGAACCTCAAACAACAGGTAGTGTGTGTACACAATCATGTAGCATGAAATAGCATCACAGTGTAATCAAGCGATTAGTGACCCTGCCCGTGGCCATGAGGATCGAAGTTACAACGGAACATTAAGCCCTGGTCCACTGTGCTTGTCAAAAGAGATGGGGAATTTTTCCGGCACAAAGTCCTAGGGGGATTTCTCTGGTACAATGAACTTGTACAGACTGCATCAAGCTCACTTTTTACTTTTTGTCCTTTCCATGGCAGGAAGAGTCTCGGGAGAAGAGCTGGAAGAGGTCGGGATCGGTGTCGGGCATCGAGAGGCTGGCTGTGGGACAGTCTGGGCTGGGCAGCCCTCCAGCCGTGCGCAGGAGACCTGTACAGGTACATACAATCAGCATGTTGGTAGAACGTACATGTACATTACTGGGCCTGCGCAAAACCTCCTTTTTTTCACGGTTTTCGTCAGATTTTTGGTCAACGTTGCATCAGAATTTTGCCTGTTGCAGACAATTTTTTTCCGACATAGAATTTGAAAACTACAGACAGACTGTTAACCTTATATGCGCAAATACAACCATTCATGTACATGTATATAAGATGTTCTGCCAAAGTGCTATGCACAATACATGACAGGTTTCGTGCAGGTGCAGTATGTTCTGCCGAAGTGTTCATACAATCTATATTGACACAACAAAATTACAGTGAATTCGTAAGCCTTAGGTCTTTTAAAAGCTATGCTTGCAAACAAACAAGACTAGTGGCGTCGGGTGGTGTAGTGGTTAGAACAATAGACTGTGAACCGGTAGACCCGGGTTCGATTCCGAGTCGTACCCGGTACATGTCTGAACATGCGCCCCGACGTTGTGCCCTTGGGAAAGGCACTTTACACGAATTTCCTCACTCCACCCAGGTGTGAATGGGTACCTAACTTCGGTTGGGGAAAGTCGTATTGAGGTCATCTTGTGGCGCCGAATGGCAGCCGCACAGACCCTTGCGACTGTGTGTATCATTTGTATTATTTGAATGTTGTAATTGTTGTGATTTGTATTGATTATTGTGTGATACCCTGCATCAATTCAGCCGTAAGGCTGCGACTGCATGGGTACTGTTTGGACAATAAAAATAAAAAATAAAAAATAAAAATAAAAAAAAAAGACTAGTGGATACAGATTATTTTACCAGTATGTGAATAGAACAACATGCTAAGTTTTACGTATCACATATACTACAGTCTAAGGTCTAAACCTTCTTGCTAGTAGTTCAAGCTTGTTCCAGTACAAAGAAATAACCATACATTTTTGTTCAATCTCGTCTTGCTAGTACAGTGTAGTCTAGTAAGGGTTATCTCCTTATAGAATGTACATGTAATCAAATTTGTCTGTAGGATGGAATACACCAAATTCTGATGAGCAAGCAGAAAGAAAAGTGATCAGATTTTAGCATTAATCATCATATCATGACATTCATCTTCAATCTACAGAAGATGGCGTCAGACTCCATCACTCTAACATGCAGACCTGCAGTACCAACTGCAGAAGACAGGGGGAGCTCCAGAGATGTGGTGCCAAAGTTCTACATCGGTGGTTCCCTGAGCGATGATGATGATGATGCACAGACCCCCTCCTCGCAGGCGGCCCTGCTTCCTGGACTCGACCCACCCTGCAAACCGGTATGTTTTCAAATAATGTCTATGTTATCTGTATCTGTATAGCCGGTATAACCACCCTTCGGCGTAACACACCAGCTTCTGTATCTGTATAGCCCGTATAACCACCCTTCGGCGTAACACGCCAGCCTCTGTATCATTCTGTATAGCCGGTATAACCACCCTTCGGCGTAACACACCAGCTTCTGTATCTGTATAGCCCGTATAACCACCCTTTGGCGTAACACACCAGCATCTCTATCTGTATAGTCGGTATAACCGCCCTTCGGCGTAACACACCAGCTTCTGTATCTGTATAGCCGGTATAACCGCCCTTTGGCGTAACACACCAGCTTCTGTATCTGTATAGCCGGTATAACCGCCCTTCGGCGTAACACACCAGCTTCTGTATCTGTATAGCATACAATCATACACATGTACAAATACAATTGATGAATACACAGTGAAATATACATGTACAATAAAATCATATCCTGTATCCTCCCAGCGGCTGAGGCACGAGTCGAGCGACGTTTCGACGGACGACGGCTCGACGCTCTCGTCCCGGTTCCACCGTCAGAAGTCCATCAGCACGGAGGACATCGCCCGCTGCTCACCGCGCCGTGCCAAGCCCGCCTTCCACCCAGACGTCAAGTCCAAGAGCTATGCAGAGAACCTGGCCGCCTCCTCGGCGCCGATTCCCGTACCACTGCCCAGGAGGTCCATCACGTCCTCACAGGACCCCATCATCCCGTCCATCGTTGCCAACACAAGGCCGGTCAGTATCCGCCTGTCAAGTTTTTTATCACCTCAATCCTCTGGTACTTGAGGGCATTACTATTACAAAGTTCTTTTCTGGTATTAGATACACGGTAGTTGGTACATCCACTCCAAATGGGATCTCTGCTGGTAGAATCTCTGATTGCACTTGCACAGATCCTGATTGTACCGATGCCTTGAAACTGATCCTGAGTTTCTGATGACTCTCTACTTTAGAGTCTACTTGAAAAATGTTGACACAACTGTCCAAAAATCTATCAAGTTGCTTGAGTAACAGTTTTCTTCAGTCTGTACAGTACATGTACATTTATCTCATAACCTAGATGTCTAAATCTTCATGAACGTATCATGCATAGTCTGGACATTTTTCTTCTGATCAGGCCCAGGGGCAGTACACCAGCATCACTGACTCCATCGACACCACGTGTCTGTCTGACCACTCCAACCACTCCCAGTCCCCCCTCTCACCCATCGAGCTGCCAAGATTCCCCAAGGACTTCAAGTTCGACATGGCCAGGTAAAATCATCTTTTTTTTCAACTCTGCCTTTTTTATATTCAATAGTTAATTATTGCAAAGGACATTAGGGCTAAGGAATTAAGCATGCATAACTGTTTTTGCTCTGCGTAAGACTTGGACTTCAAGTTCAGGTACCAACTTCTGGCTTCCCAACAAAAGTTGCATTCAATTTGTTATGTTAACCTTAGAAATCATACTGTTTTTGCTCTGTTTCTTCTTCCTCTTATCGAAACAAATAATGTCAATGACCTGCACCAAATGTCTATCACCATGGTAACTGGTGCTGTAGCAGAAACCTTGTGGTGTTGGGTTACATTATATGTAGCAAATAGCAGGACAGAGTTGGAGGGACTGGTCACCATATATATGAATGTGTTCGAGTAACAATAGATAGTTATTGTTACAATACTGTAGTAGTTTTACTAGGCTTTGCAAATTTGTTAAGCTTTGCAAGTTTGCTTTGCAAATGTTACCTTTTGACTCAGTTAATTAGAACAAGAAGGCTGAAGTTTTCAGGTCACTGCCATATACAGTAGGAGTAGGAGTAGGGAGGAAATTGTGGCCGAGCTTGTACTCTGGACCCCCAGTTAAGTCGACTCAGTTGGACTCTGCTTTTTTCTTTTCAACCTTCATTTAGCCTTGAATATGTACAGTATGTACATGTAATAGTACCACTCTTCGGCCTGAGCCGTTTTTCAAGAGGTCAAGGGGAGGTAGGTCAGGGGTCTTTTGCAAATGCTCAGTTACAATATTAAATCAGTCACAGAAATACAATATAATTTATAATACATATGAGTCCATACAAAATTCAAACATTATCTCCATTCATATATCATTATCAATATCAACATCCAAGCTTCATTTGTACTTCAGGTACAGCGCAGAGAACCACGCGGACGGTGAGGACACCCAGACCACGGCCATCCGGCACGCAGAGGAGAGCGACATCGAACTGAGCGAGCTGGCCAACCGCACCTGGAAGCTGTCCAACAACGCCACCCCTCGGCTCAAGAACATGCGGCGCAAGCATCGCCCCGACAAAAACGGATCCTCCTCGCAAAACTCCTCACCCAAATCTTCCAAATCGAGCGTGGGGCAGGACAGGAGAGACCCCTTGCAGGCTGCGACGGTACTGCAAGATGCTGCTGCTGGTTCGAAGAATGCTGCAGAGAAAGCTGATGGAGAGAAGCCGACGCAAACGGTGCTTCCCACAGTAGTGGTGGAGACGGAAACCCACTGCTAGATCAGCAATAGACTCCTATAGACAAGCACATTCGATCCTGCAATAGTTCCTGTTGAACATAGTGTTATAAATTAACGTTTATTTTTCTTACGGAAATGCCCACTGTTGTATCCAGAACCATGCTCAGGCAGGGTTCTGGATTGTCCACAATCATGTATCCAGAACTGTGCCTGGGGTAAATCTAAGTTGTTATGCAGAAACTTTCAAGTCCCATACCTGATCCTAACCGTAACTAGTTCAGGCCTACATGTAGAGCTACATTGTAGACAGGCACGGTTCTAGGTACAATACCCACCGAGCATCTTTAGTCTTTAACATTGCCATGTAACTTGTCCCTGTGTTTAAGACAAAATATGTCTAAATCCAGCTTCAAAAGCATCCATGCATTGGTAGGAGTCCGCACAATATCATAATTATGATATAAAACAGTGCAAAAGAACACATTGAGTGTTCTTGTAGAGCTTAACCATATCATAATCTTCAGGACCCAAACATCGACACATTGTGACAAATCTCCTGGTAGTATAGTAGCAATATCAGCAGGCCCTGCGTACAAGAGGTCTGCAGACTATACCTTTCAACAATCTGCTACATTGTAGTGCAATATGAGATAGCCAATTATAACTGGCCACTGTGGTTGTATCAACCTTACAGGCAGCAGTGTAATTATAGATGATTGTACAGTATTGAGTAGAATTGCTATGAAACATTTTAGGGCTCCAATGCCAAACAAGCTACACTGTAATGTACAACCCTGACAAGAGTAAGAGGTAAAG